GACATATTCACACATATATAAGTAAGTCTATATCACTGCATATTCTCCTTTCCCGTGTCCTGAAGAGCAAAACCATGCAGATCCTTCATTTGATTTGCTGTTTGGCTAACCTTTCTATATTGTATGTTTCTTAGATCCCCAACCCCTCCTCTGACTTGATATCTTTGCAATCTGATACTTACTGCACAATGTCAGTAAAGCCAGTGAAGAGGGGTTTTGATTGATATTCAATACCATGTTTGGCACACATGGATTTCACCAAAGGAGCCACTTTCCAAAAGTTGTGCCGGGGCATCGTAGGGAAGAGACTATAGGCAGAAAGGAAGGCAAAGAAGTTGTGATCCTTTACTATCTTTTTGTCTTATTCGAACTATGAATCAGTTTCTCACTGATATCTGTCTTATTGCCCTAAATCGGTACTCACTGGTGCTCAATTTGAAAATTCAGGTGCCCTGTTACCCAGTCGTTGAAAAAAGATTGATTCACATTGCATGTTGCCTGAAGCTGGGAGAAGAGAGAAAGACAAGTTTTAGTCCAGACATACTGTGAATGAAGGAAGAACAATTTCCAAGCAAATGTCCATGATTTGTATTCATGTATGTTTGTGTATATGTATTGGTATATAACTAGTATTTCTAGACAAATATGTTGAATTTTGGATAGATTAAATTATATTACCTTAATAGTAAAATTTAAATACTGATTTGGCATCAACTCTGATAGTCACCATTGTACAATTCTGAAAACATGGGGAATTAAAATTTAATTCTAGTAATATGTTTATTTTTCATTTTGTGAAACATTTCTTTTCAACAGTTACATTCAAATCTTCCTCTTACTTATTCCAGACTACACCAAGTTGTCTGGTATGTTTTGAACTCACAGGCCTCCTTTTTCTAAAAAGAATATCCTGATCTGGATGAAAACCTGATGCTGGGAATGGAAAAGAATGAACTGATTCCTACACTGGCCAGTTTCTCTTTCAGTTAGTGCTATTATCTTAAAATGAGGGCAAAGAATGTTTGTTCCGCTCATCTCATTTCCATTTTTATAAAGTCCAAACAAAAGCGAGGGCACTCATAATCTGTAAAGAAATGGCATGGTATTTCGAAACACCCTTCAAACTTTTCTATGATAGGAAAAGCACTGTAAAAGAAATAATAATGGGTAAAAATAACTTCCAAAAAGGAATTCAGTTTTCACATATGCAAATTATAGTTGACGCTGTGGTAATTGGATTATTATGGATTTGTGAATTATTGTCATATAATAAAGTTACACAGACAAGCTAACGTTTAATCATGTATAGCCATCAATTTTATCTTTGAGATGTCTCTCACCTGTGTAGAGAACCAATCCATGTTTTTATCACGATCAATGTGCATAGGAATATGACTCATCTGCGATATCCATGTAAATAGGATACTCTCAAGAACACTGAGACACAGAAATGAGGCAAAGTCAGGAAGAGAAACTATATTTACACAAATAAGCCATTAAGTAGAATAGTGGGAAAAATGTATTGGTTTGTTTGTTAATGATGACTTAATGATGCCTTTCTATGGAAACCAATACCTGTCTAACCCCCCAGTGACAATGAGTCAGATCCAAACCCAATATCAGGAGCCCCAATCTTTCTGAGTCAATGGACGTACTTGGAAGGTTGACCAGAATCCATGGAAACTGATCCAGAATGGAAACTACATAGTGGCTTGGATAGATGTATAATGGCAAATGGGTGACCTTCTCAGAGCAAGACAAATTGGTGAGGTTGTGCTTGCTACTCTCTCTAGCCCCTCATGATGCTCTTTATCATTTTTAAATGACTGTATAAACTCAACTTAAAGAAATAAAAGAGAATAGAAAGAATAAAAAGTGCAAGAAAAGTAAGAATATAATAAAGAGAAAAGAAATATATAAAGAGGTTACTTTCAATCTTCATCACAAAGTATAAAATTTTTTAATAACTCTTCACCCTTTGTAAAATTACAAACATTTATCTCTTCATCCCATATCATCAATAAATAAATCGATAAAACATTGTCCTTTTCAGTCCTGTGTCAGCAGAAAGTACAAAAAGGATAACTTATTGCATAACTTATCTTATTTTAACATTGATCAAATAAACCAATTTTATATTCCTTCATTTTACTTAATCTTTAGCTCAGAATTCCCCAACCTTTCAAGCTTTGTGGGGTGGCAGAGGGACGGAGAGAGGGATGGTTCTGCACAAGCAGCCAGCAAGCTCATGCACATGTTCATCCATTGCTCACACAAGCGTGCCCACCACTTCCACGGCCCAGTTCCAAACAGCTCAAGCCTGGATGGGGACTCCTGCTTTAGCTCATTCAAATATTGCCATAAGTTTTTATTCTCTCTTTGTTTCTTTTTCTTTTTCCCTATCACACAAAATTCTTCAAGGCTTTAACAAAGCTCTTCTTAAATTCCAGTTGAAATTTTTATTTATCTGTTTATCTAGTTCATTCTCTTGATTTGTCATTTGTATTTCATTTCTAAATTTTAAAACGCCAGCCAGTTTCTTTTGAAGATCCAATGAAACTTCCTTTTCTAAATTAATCTCTTAGCCTATCAGTTGTAAATCCAGTTTCAATACTATCTCCATCTTGTCAAAAATTGTTCTGAAAATGGAATTTCTTCAATAACATCCTTTGACATAGTCTATCCATTAAAGCATCATCATTACTGATATTATTGATACTATAGTTACTATTTTCGGATTCGGTTCTTCAAAAGTCTCCTTCCTCTACTTAAAATCTACTTAAAACAGTTACGACTGTTGCAGCATCCCCACAGTCATGAGAGGCCAGGCAAGGAGATGTGTGCCTCGATGTGAGTGATGTTGAGTTGGCCACACCCAGCCAATAACATGACCACCAAGCCACGTCCACCAACTTAGCCACACCCACAGAACCGGTTGTTAAAAAATTAGAATCCCACCCCTGACTCAAACCTGTAGAAAAGCACTGTCCTGTGAGGCAGGCAATTCAATAGGGCACTTAGAACTGAGGACTGCTTCACTTCATGGAGTTACATTGAAGTGGCACTTTATCTAAGGTTCAGTCAAAATGAAGAACCTCTTTGATGCTTTGCATATATGTGGTCATTGATTCACATATGCAGATTGTAAAAAGATATATGCTGTAGTCAGTAAGTGATGAATGCATGTGCACCAGCCCTCAACAGGAAAAAAATGAGAATGGGTGTCCTGAAAATGAGGAGGACTTTTTGGAGTAAGTTCAGACAGCCTTCCTCAGCCTGGGCATTCAACTCGACTGCCAGAATTCCCCAGCCAACAAAACCATTACTGTTGAACAAAACCATTACAGTTGAAGCCCACACATAGGGAAGTGGGCAATTTTGGGAAAGGATAATCTAGAGAATAGTCAGGGTCTGTGAAGAAATGGTGAAACACAAATAAAATAGTACATATAATGAACAGTACTTTAAAAGAAGGAGGTATCCCAAAACACCCTTGAATCCCAATATGGGGTTGAAGGCAATAAAGAATCTGATAAAATATGCCACGGTCCATGCTATTTCCTGCAGAAGAGAAGAAAAGGAATGGACATTAGAATAGCATCTTTCCTTGCTCCAAGTAGACACCCTACATGGAATCTTACTGAGAACCAGATGTATATCTTCTGGAAACTCTGCTCTATTTACTGTCCATTTTGACAAAACCATTTTTTACCCTGGCAGCTTTTTTAATGGATTGACAGATTTAACTGATTGAAAAGAGTCACAGAAAAATATACTAAATAAGTCTGAGAATTGTTTTTAAAAAACTACAATATTTTGAGCTCACATCACTCCAGAAAGTGATGGAGGACAGAAGTTTCTTTGCACGTTGTTATAAGGTTTTTTTTAATTAACCAGGGAAGACAAACTTTTTATATAGTGATTATCAACACAAGATACCATGTGTGCTTGTAAGCACCAGTGTTGATGTGTATGTGGATCTGTTTGAGCTCATAAAAAACATTGTTTTCAGTAACTGACATGTTTATATATCAGGTGAGAAGAATGTAGAGATTTTGTTAGTTTTGATTATCCCACAAAATTTCAGCCATTTTTAATTAGAGTGCTTGACAATAGTGTATGGCAGATCCCGACTTTAAATAAGGCTGGAAAGGTCTCTTCTGCCATCTTCTTTATTAGAAAAACATAAGTCCAACCCCACTTCCAATCCCTCTAGATCTTTTTTAAAAAAGAAAGATGAACCATAACTTTATAGTTGTATTAAGCTACCATAAATCATTTCTGAATCAAAGCCCTCAAAATCACAACTTGAGAAAACTGGATTGTAATTCTTGTACATTCTTAGTTCAACCGATGCCATTGTCCAATTGCCTCTAAAGTTTCCCCATCATGCCTTCTACATGTTTGTTTTCCCAGACTAAAATCGAATGCCTCCTTCATAAAAGGCCTTTTGATAGCAATAGTTCATCTGGAAGCCAGCAATAGTTCATCTGGAAGCACTTTAGATTTGGTGTGGCATTGACTTTCCTATTAACAATATCCCCATACCAATTTTCATATGCGCCTAAAATGGTCTAGACTTTTCATGCCCTCTTAAGGAAATAAAATTCTAAACCTATAAACATATCATGGGGGGAGGAGAATTTCAATATTTTAATATTTGCTATGGATTATTTGTGTACTCACCCTCCAGAGTTTGCGTTGGAGTATAAAGTACAACGAGTAAACTTGAAAAGTTGGCACTACAATCAGTGGCAATGCTGTAGAAGGAAACAAGATGCATATAGCCATTAACTGTCCTTTCTAAACATAAAGAAAGCATCAACCACACTCCTCAAATGTTTTGTATTTAACATTTTATTTAATAATTATAACTGTACTTGAGAATTTCATCATCAAAAATAAGTCAACCCCAAAACTTCGTCCATGGCAGACACTGCCTGAATTGTGCAACTATTTGTGTTGGCTCCATTAGAACCGATTGACTAAAATACGCTTGAATGAGCTAAAGGAAGCTCTGTTATTCCTGGTGATAAGTGGACAATACTATCTTAATCTATTCAGGTATATTTAGAAGAAAGCCCTGGTAAATCCAGTGACACCAGCTTTCAAGTGTTCATTCATTTATAAGAGACATCTCGTAAACTTGCCCATTTTGTAAAACACAATTCTGGGTGATTTACAACTATATAAAACCTAAAACTAGAGATAGGCAAGCTACACGTATATACAAAGAGATCAAACCCCACTACCTTCTAGCACTAACAATGTTACCTAATTGGGTAATGAAATGTCTGCCAATAAACTACCGACTTCAGGGAGCACCAAGAATCTCACAGTTCCACCCTGAGCTCCAAATATTCTCTTCTATTGGAATCACCCAAATAAAAGACATTTTTCCTTCAAAAGTAGGGAGGGGTTAATAGTCCAGGCAGTGGAAAAGAAGCATAGAGACACAACCAGGAAAGTTGCAAGTACTCTACTCGCTGGCCAATAATAGAGAAGAAAGGGAGAAGAAATTCCAGAGAGAGGAATTAAGGGAGAACAGTTTGTAACAGTTTGTAAGAAGAAAATATTATTATATAAGAGTACCACAGAACATGGTATTGTAATAGAGTATAATAATTGTAATCATTATAATAACTGTAATTAATGTAGCAATACAGAAATAGCGATAGAAACAAAATATAAAGCAGAGGCAATAGAAAACACATTTAAACTTGTAAGTTTCATATTCAGCTTTTATATCTTGGGTTTCTTTCAAGATAAAATATCTACCTAATCCTTATAGGAGGATATTTTTTTAAAAAAACTTGTTCAGAATCCTTATTCTCTGCGATGTTCTGCAGTTGCTGCCAGTGCTCCTGTTCTTCCCTCCTCCTCTTTATCTTATTATTAATAATAGAGTTGTTATTAATCTGCACTGTCCTGGGCATTATGTAGAATGCATATGTAATCTGTCCATGAGCTCATGGTAGAAAAGATAAGAATCCAAAGATGATCCAGAGCTTTTTTGTGAAAGTTGTTGTTTTTTTACACAAGAAAAAGGTCATTTGCACTTCAGGAGGTAGGGAAAAAAACAAGATACTCACTGAAGAAAAAATACTTGTGCTGATAGTTATAAGGCATATGTTTCTTTTTCTGCAAACCCAACTGTAAAAGAAATTAAGTCATGGAAAAAACAAATAACTTTCACTCGGTAATTATAATTTAAGGCTCCATTTCTATAACATCCTTTTCATCTTCTCTGTGAAATAAATACTCAGGCAGGAAAAAAGCACCAAAAAAGGTGAGATCTACACAGCTGTCACAATAATAGACTGTAATTGTGGTAGTTAAAGTAGATTACAGTCTTTATTTTCAAAGTTTCATATGAAGAAACACATGGCAGGGTGAGATAGCTTTTCAACTAAATCCTGCAATATAAATATGGAAAGAGCATTCTTAAACTTAGATATATATATATTTAGCCAGGATAGCAGAAACACTAGATAAACTTTTACTAGATAAATGTTTCCTAGTATGATTTGATTGCTTATTGTACCCCATGACTATTATTAAATGTTGTACCTGATGATTCTTGACTCTTGATGAATGTATCTTTTCTTTTATGTACACTGAGAGCATTTGCACCAAGACAATCTACCTTGTGTGTCCAATCACACTTGGCCAATAAAGAATTCTATTCTATTCTATTATACTAGCATTTCCATTAGCTGAAAGCTCTAAAGCAGGGGTCCCCAACCACCGGTCCGCGGACCGGTACCGGTCCGTGGAACAAGTCCTACCGGGCCGCTGGCTTGCTGGGCGCCGCCATCTTTTTTTGATGAAAAAGTGCTTCCGGTGAGCTTTTCCGGGTAGAAAGCTCACCGGAAGCACGTTTTCATCAAAAAAAGATGGCGGCGCCCAGCTAATGCCGGTACTGGGCCGCGCCATAAAAAAGGTTGGGGATACCGGGCCGCGGCGTAAAAAAGGTTGGGGATCACTGCTCTAAAGGAAAGCATTCTGGGATCTGGACTTGGATCTGCTGGGTTCAAAGTGCTCCATTGTCCCAATATCAGCTCTTCAGCCACAACATCCTATAGCTGCCACAATTAATGTCCTGACTGGTCTAAGTAGGGGTGAATTAACAACAAAAAGGGAATCCAGAATCTCAGCTAAAGAGGCAGCTTCTTCATTTTGAGATTTTTACTGACTGCCACATCCTCAACCATCAGAGATAAAACATTTTCTATTTCTGCTTGTGAGGCATAAGTCATTCTATATTTTCTTTGTTTTAAGAAAGAGCCAAGGCAGAATATGCTTATCAAATCTGAAACAATCCACTGAGATAATTCACATGATAGTCAGCCCAATTCATAACATTAACAAGAGAAGGAGCCAACAGGAACAAACAAATAGATGCTTAAACTCCATACCACCCTCCATCTTCTATCCTATCTGAGCTGCCAGGGTTTTTGGACAGGCAGACAATCTGTTACTTTGCCTCCCTAACACACCTTCTTGGATTACACTCATGGCCATAAAAAATTGCTGCTTTCCTCAGAATGCTTTTGTACATGATTGTTAAGTCAATCCAGTGAGATAATTCACCCGGTAGTCCAATTCATAATATTTATCTATAGCTATGAGCTACAACAGGAGAACCAGTTTGGTGTAGCAGTTAAGGCTAGAATAGATTGCAAGATTGTGAGTTCTAGATTTTCCTTGAACAAAGCCAACTGGGTGACCTTGACCTTACCCTTAGAAAGGAGGGGTCCATATAGGGAAATACACTTTTGTTGTGGCCACCTTGGGTGAACATTTTGTCCAGCCCTACTAATCTACTATCTCTATGAGATCTGTTTTATCAAACACTGCTAATGAACATAAATAATAAATCTAGAAGTATTATACTATGTTCAATGCTAAACATTGACAATCAAGTGCCTTAACAATTTCTGTTCTGAACACTGATCTGAAAGGGGAGTGGCCAGGATTCAGTAAACTCTGTTGTCATCTAAGCAGTTGCTTCTTACCTCCAAAGAAAGAGGTTCCCCTAATGACAAAATAATGGGATGAAATGAAACATCTGGGTCCTTCTGGAAACAGTTGGGTTTAGCATGATGCTGGGAATGGTGCAAAGACCACCAATTAGCTGAAAGTCCCTGTAGAGGAAGAGTGAAAGAAAACATTCAGGTTCTTTTAAAAGATTGCTTGACTATTTACTACAACAGTATTCTGCTTGGAAGAGGTAATATAGAGGAGATTCCATTGAACCTTTGGATCAGATTCATAAAATAAGTTTGAGGTGTTGAATCAGCTGACTCTAAATTATCTTGGAGAGGTTTAAAACAGTTTGAAGATTAAGTGCACTTTTCTAGCTTTGAAGAATCTCAAGCATTCATTGCATACATGGACAAAACTGGGGGGAATTTGAGTATTGTAATGAGTTCTCTGATATTAACATGAGTAGGTGGCAAATGAATTTTATCACCTTTCAAAATCCTGCCTGTCAAAGCATGGAAGAGGTGCTGCTCTGCTATTTGTGTATTTAGAGAGATTCACCTGGGGAGAAACATAAAACAAAGTAGAGACCTAACTTTATTCTGCTTGGTCTCTCTTTTAATGAGTCTTGCTTTTTCTTGCCTCCATACCATTTTATTCTTGTTTTTCTTTGACTCATCTGTAGTACAGTCCCTGTTAGCTTTGGGTCCAGTATTTTCCTTCCTTTGTCACTGGCATTTAATCAGGCTTATTGATCAGGGTATTTTATCAATGGCATTTAATCAGGCTTAAAGTTGTACCAAAAGCAGGTGAAAATAACACCTGGTATGCTCATCTAATTTCACTGATAATGTTGATACAAAGATTTTAATACCAGTGTTAGGAAATAGATTATAGCAAAGTGATACCATTTAACAATGATCAAGCAGGGTGAAAAAAACTAGGCATGCAACAGGTAATATACAATTCATTGTAGATATAATAGACTTAAAATAAAGATCAACTTGTAATCTCATTATTAGATGCTGAAAACTTTTGATAAAATACACAAACAATACATGTTTATTATATTAATAGATTTGAAAATCCCTTGGAATTCATAAAATGGATTAAGAATATTATATCTACTTCTAAAATAAATTTTAATGATGTTTCCCCCCACTTCTTGACTATTTAGAGAAACTAGACACAGATATCCAGTTTCACCCTTGCTTTTTAATATCTACATTAATTAATACTTCAATCAATATTTAATATGTAATTATTGGTTTGTGCTATTAGACAACCTAGAAATATCTATGGAGTGCAACATAACTCAGTTGAATACAAATGCCCATATTCTTTTATTTCTAAACCTCATACTATTATTTTAGTATTGATGCAAAATAACAGAATATTCTATGATATTCCAAATCCGGCTTGATGCTAATAAGTAAAAATTGGGTTAGCCATTCACTAAATATCAATTCCATATTTGCACTGAATCCATTAACTATTTAGCATATGTATATACCAAAGGATACAACATGTAATTTAAATAAAATTGTGGGAGGGGTGTTTCTTCAGTTATCAATAAATGCGGATCAACTGTCAGGATTCTGGCAGTTACCCCCATTTAAATCATGAGTCTTGAGCCAAACTTCCAAAACTTCAAAAGGATTTATTGGGAGTTAACATGCCGGCACTGCCTGGGTGTAGCCGACTCTGAGACACATAATTCATTGTCGCCCTTGACCCTAGTTTTCCCCCACCCCCTGGGTGTATCGTAATTCATATTCTCCAATGGGACATATCCATAGCCAACAGTCATCAATCATGCTCTCCAGTTAGAATTTTGTGCAGCAGAAACTTCAATCACCTAGTTACTATCTTTGAAAACATTTATGCAATACAGTTTTGGTTTTGCAAGCTGTTGCACTGCTCCTCCTTCCCTTTATGTTGGCAACTCTAAAAAGACCATAGAAATATTTTATGAGTTGACATAAACCTTACTCTTTAGGGAAAAGGTGAATGCTCTCAAAATGTATGTTATTACCAAATAAATTTATATTCTGAGAGGAATTCCAGTTTTAAAATCTGGAAAATATTTTCAGAAAATAGATTCCTTCTTTACATTTCTATGGAGTTCTGAGAATATCTTTACAGAAAATCCTATTTGTAATTAATGAAGGTAGGATTCAGTTTTTAGAATCTAGATATATATACAGCACCTTTGGTTGGGTGGATAGTATAAGGATCGAAATATACAAAACTCTGTTACATCTGAAAACAATTACATTATTTAGAAACTTATGGAATGTCTACTTTTAAAACACTAACTGTTTTTCCCATGCCAAATTGACCTTATGGTCCATGCTAAATTGGCACTGGACAAGAGTTAATTAAATTCAAGGACAGCTGGACTTGGACTGCTTGTGGGAACTTAACTACTCCAGGATGATTCCTCTCTTGGCTCCCCCCTCCCCCAACTTTGATTCTCCTTCTCATACAGAAACATTCTTCAGTCTTTTTTTTAAAGTCACAATAGCACATAACCTGCTTTTTCTAGTTAAATTGGACTAAAGTGTTTTCTGTTTTACTTCAGTATGACTGCTCTACAGACTCTTCGTTGGACAACTAAGAGACTATGCTGCTCTTTTTCATTATTATTTCTGCCTTAAAACAGTAGAAGAGGAATATTTCAAAATTTATATCAGAATTATATCAGAATTCAAGAAGCAATGGGTGGAAACTAATCAAGGAGAGAAACAACTTAGAACTAAGGAAAAATTTCCTGACAGTGAGAACAATAAACCAGTGGAATGGCTTCACATTCAGAAGTTGTGAATCCTCCAACATTGGAAGTTTTTAAACAGATGTTGGATAACCATTTATCTGAAGTGTTGTAGAGTTTCCTGCCTAGGCAGGGGGTTGGACTAGAAGACCTCCAAAGTCCCTTCCAACTCTGTTATTCTATGCTATGCTATGCTATGCTATGCTATGCTATGCTATGCTATGCTATGCTATGCTATGCTATGCTATGCTATGCTAT